TGTGTGTGTGTGTGTCTGCGTGTGTGCGTGTGTGTGTGGGTGTGTGTGTGGGTGTGTGCGTGTGTGTGTGTGTGTGTGTGTGTGTGCGGGTGTGCGTGCGTGCTGCGTGCGTGCCTGCGTGCGTGCGTGCGTGCGTGCTGTTTTTTTCTTGTCTCGGCGAAAACCACCGTCGGACGGGGGCAGGACGAGGATCCATCCGTGCCAGCGCGCTCTGGAACGCAGGAGGCCCCGCCGCCCGAGGCACCCTCAAGAGCCGCTGGATGTCGGCGATTCTCGATGTATCCTCACCCCATTGTGTCCTCGTCCTGGCTGTGCCTGATCTCTGGACGCGTCGGCTCCCCTGTAGTACTTGGCGTCGCCCTGGCGTGTGCTTTTTTGTTCGGCGAGGACCATCGAAGAGCCTCTTGGGCCATCTCGCGACAAGTACACGCACGAAACCGACAAATGCACGGTGACTGGGCGTCTGCTCCTCTTGCTTGCCCCCTCCCCTGCTGCTTTCTTCTTTTTCCGATTCGTTTTCGTATTGTTCTTCTTTCCATGGCCGCGGGGCGACTTCGTGCTTGTGAGAATATGTGCTCTGGACGCTTCGGCTCCCCTGTAAGTGGAGCGTTCAGCTGGCTGCATCCTCCCTCCTCGGGCCCCGCCGCGTCCCGCGGGCCGCCCTCCGGGGGGGGGGGGGGGGCCGCCCCCATGGAGCCCCTGGAGCCGCTCCAGGTGGCGGTGCTGAGGCCCAGCGGGGAGGCGCGCTCGTCGCCGCCGCTTCCTGTGGAGTCTCGTCGGGCGGCTTCGCCGGCCCTCGCAGGGTCTCCAGGCCCACCGCACGTGGAGGCCCTCGAGGCTCTCTTCCGAGACGGCGCCACAGTCCCTGGGCCCAGGACGGTCCGTTCCATGGGCAGTCCAAGCTCTGAGTTGGGGCGCGACCTCTTCGGAGAGAAGCCGGGCGCGTGATGGATCTCTGGGCAGTCCCGGGTCTCCAGAAATGTCGAGGCCTCCGCGTGCTCCCCGGCTCGCCGGGGGCGTTCCCCCAGGGTGCCTGGAGCGTCCCAGACCAGAGTTTTGGCCTTCAGTCGGGCGTGTCCCTCTACAGGATGAAAATTCAAAAATAGTCCAGACACAGTAAGGGGACGATTTCATTTTCTCCTTATTATATATTTACATATATATATATATATAGATGGGAATCGGCTTGACTATTTTGCACATTTTTGTCCAAGATCCGCCTGTAAGGGGAAATGCCCGACCTAGTTTTGGCCCGAGCGAGGATTCCTCGTGTCGTGAAGAGCGGCTGGAGGTGTTCGGCAGCTTTTTGGGGCTCGGGTTGGACAGGCAGAGGACGAGGGGTTATCCGTTCCCGAGCGTTCCGGAACGCTCTCACAGCGTTTTGGAACGCTCTGAGAAGACCGCGGCGCCCGATACTTCTTCCAGAACCGCCGGATGTCCGAGATTCTCAACGTATCCTTACCCGATATTGTCCTCGTCCTGGCTCCGTCTTATCAGAGGGGGTTCTTTGGCAGGCCCCAGGACCGTCAGGAAGCGGCTCGGTGCGAGAAAGGAACACGGTCCGCGGAGAGGGGTCCATGGAGCCACGTTGTGATTAAATCGCGGCGTCGGATGCTTGGGTCGTCACTATCGTGGTCGCCCTCGTCGTCGTCGTCGTCGCCGCCGTCGTCGTCGCCGTTGTCGTCGATGTTTGAGGTTCTAGGGTGATGTCGGGCACGTCCCTCTACAGGAGGGAAACCAAAAGTAGTTTCAAAAATAGTTTGGGGACGATGTCTTGTTTATTTTTCAGTATGTCTTGAATCTTGTTTGGACTATTTTAACTTTTCTGCCAAAGCCCGACTGTGATTAGAGGGACATGCCCGACCTAGTTCTAGGGTCGAAGTTCGAGGTGGCGAGGCCGGCGCGCTCGGGCACGAGGCGGGGCCCTCATCGGCAAGAAGTCGGAGGGGAGTCTTGTTGGTTGTGACCTCCTCGATCCTTCTCGACGCCTCCTCCTGGCCTCCTCGAGACTTCTCGACGCCTCCTCCTGGCCCTGCCCCCCTCCAGGAGGAGCATTCAAGAATAGTCAACCAAATAACATGGGGACGAGTTTTGAAAATATGGTTAGGCCATTTTTGACTATGTTACTCGTATTTCTTGTTTTTCGCACAGAATCCGCCTGTAGGAGGACACGTCCGACCTAATCCTGGCCTCCTCGAGCATTCTCGACGTGTCTGCAGCGCCCTCTTTTGAACCTCCGGAGTCCTCCAGAGTGGAAGACGAGGACCGGGACGAGGACGAGGAGGAGAAGATCGGGGGCGGCAAAGAGGGGGGTGATGACTAGGGGTGGTTGTGGATATCATGGCGGGGGCCAGGATATTTCCCCAGATCTCACGGCGCCTTTTCTTATCTCGTTACGTCCTTGGCCCCGCCCTTGGGCCGCGCACGTGCCGCCGGCCATGATCTGCCCCCCCCCCCCCCCCTCTTGGACGGCCCCCCTCTTGGCCGCCCCCGATGCTTCAAGCGCCGACTTGCAGGGTCGACGTGGTCTTGCTGTCGTGGAGAGTCGGTACCTCGGGATTCCCAGATCCCCCCCCTCTTGGACACCCCCCTCTTGGCCGCTCCCGAGCAGGAGGAGAGGCCCACTGGCGCGCTCAGAGGATATCGGCCAGGGCCTCGCCGGAGGCAAACGGAGGCCATCCCGTCTCCTCCTGTTTACGCCTCCCGCCCACTGCGGTCGTCTGCCCACCTGCCTGCTCCTGCCTGCTCTGCTCCCTCCTCCCGCCCCCGAGCTCGCCGGGAAGGAAACAGTGGCCCTCCTCGGGCCCCGGCGCCCCCGGAGCACGACCCCGGGGCACGGCCCCGGGGTTCAGGATCCGCCTCCTGCACGCCCCTCCGGGCCTGTCCGAGGCCAGGGCTTACACGCACGGCCACCGCCGGTGAGCCGACGCCCCCAGACCTCGGGAGGCAGCTGACAGGGATTGCCCTTTGGGGCCCGGGCGTAATTAGCCGTATCCGCCGACCGTGGGGGTTCGTGGACATCGGCATCGGCTCCCTCGGCGGCGGACGTGCATGCTCAAGTCGGGCATGTCCCTCTACAGGAGGAATATCTTCAAAAATTGTAAAAATAGTCTGGGAATGATTTGTCAACCATTTTGCTTTTTGCATTATTTGATTATTTTGGAGGTTGATCGACCTCCTACCCTGACACGTCGAGTAGCGAATTGGCCGTTTTCGGTTCGCGGGAGGGCGTCGCGGCCGTCAGTTTGCGGGTCCAGGTCTGTCGGTGTCGGTCGTAGGCCTTTTTTCATTAACGGGTGGTTTACTAAAGGGAGGTTTGTCGACGTGTATCACAGCCGGACCGAGGTACAAGGTCGCGGTCGGTTCGGGGAGGGTGCCTTTGTTCTCTTCGTGCTTGTTGGACGTTCTCGTGTGCCCTGGGGAGGGTACCCTTGGATGTTCTGATCGTTTTGGACGGCGGAGGGTCTCATGATCGTGAGGGATGTTCGTCTGGCTTAGGTCCGGCTGCAAGTGCTGGCGACAGCCCCCTTGTGAAGAGGAACCGCCCTGCATCCGCGCAGAAGTTGCGACCTGTGTGACGTCTGGCCGTCCAATTCGGCGAGGTCGAGGGCGAGAGCGCCATGTTCATCCCGTGGCGCCTGGCAAGGGGGCACGATTTCCAAAGAACTCACGGAGGCTTCTACATCATGTCGAGGATTCTAGCAAGCATTGTCGAGAACTTGCCGACGTGATTCTACACTGCGCGAGGAGGTCAGGGTTCAGTCGGGCGTGTCCCTCTACAGGAGGAATGTTTAGAAATGGCAGTCCAGAAACAGAAAAATCGTCCAAAATCCGCCTGTAGGGGGACTGACCCGACCTGAGGTCAGCCTCCCCGCGCGCTCGGCCGAAAGGTGGCGACCATGCTGACGGTCAACCCGAGGACGAACGCCATCGGCCTCAAGAGGCAGATCGCGGGCCTGGAAGGCGCGCCCCGGGCACCTCAGGCGCAACCGTTCCTCCTCTCCTCCCTCTCCTCCTCCCTCTCCTCCTCCCTCTCCTCCTCCTCCCTCGCCTCCCTCCTCCTCCTCCTCCTCCTCCTCCTCCCTCCTCCTCCTATTCCTCCTCCTTCTTCTCCTCGTCCTCCTCCTCCTTCTCCTCCTCCTCTTCCTCCTCCTCCTCCTCCCAGGGGGGCATAGGCTCAGGGGGGGGGGGGGACGTTTCGGCTTCGAGGTTCGAGGTCTTCGGATGTTTCGGTCGGTTCGCCGCGACTTTCCAGCCTCGAGCTGTGTTCCAGCAGCTGCGCCTCGCCGAGAGCGTTCTGGGGGTGCCCAGATCGCCCCAATCGGCCGGTACATCCTGATTCGTTTTTTGGTGGGCCCGAGGGGCGCTTCAGGGATCCAGAGGCCGAAGATGGACAGAGATTGTACGTCGCGATTTTTGTCACGACGCGACGAGCTCAGGACTTGCCGCCGCCGCCGACCACGACGACGCCGCCGACGACGGCGACGACGACGACACCGCCGCCATCGTCGTCGCCGTCGCCGGCGTCGTCGTTGTCGTCGTTGTGGTCGTGATCGTGGTCGTCCTCGTCGTCGTCGCTTCGCCGCCACCGTCGCCGTCGTCGTGTAGTTGTCGTTGTCGTCGTCGTCGTCGTCGTCGTCGTCGTCGTCGTCGTCGTCGTCGTGGTCGTGGTCGTGGTCGTCCTCGTCGTCGCCGTCGCCGTCGCTTCGCCGCCGGCGTCGCCCTCGTCGCCGCTGCCTCGGAGGCACGCCCGTGGGCAACCAGGCGCTGCTCCTGGAAGGCCGGCTCCTGGAGGACGAGGCCCGGCTGGCGGACCTCGACCTGCAGGGCAACACCGCCACGGTCGGTGCCCGGGGAGGGGGACGATCGGACGGGCAGCTCCTCATATTCCGCCCCCTCCTCCTCCTCCTCCGCCTCCTCTTCCTCCTCCTCCGCGTACTCAGAGCCGAGGGGGATGGTCGGACGGGCAGCTCATGGTCGAAGAAAACAAAAACACCATAAACATAAAGTGTTGGCGCTCCGCGCGGGTTTCTTGGATCCGCGCTGTGCCCCCCCAGCGGCGTTTCCAGCGCCGCCCCTGGCGCGCTCCGCGCGCCAGGGAGTAGGGCCCAGCGCAGATCCAAGAAATCCGCGCGGAACGCCAGGAGTTTATGTTTATGGCGCTTTTGTTCCTTCTGTCATGGGTCCAGGGTGGGCCTGGCCAGTGGATGTGTGTCGATTTCGTCGCCCTGCAGACGCTTGGCATCGCTCGGACGCGTGCATGTTCTCTCGGCGGTGACCAGCGAGGAGCATCTTGGGTCATCTTGCGAAAAAGTACACGCACGAAGCCGAAACATGCACGGGAATGGACGTCCCAGCGATAGCGAGGTGAATCAGGAGGGGAGAAAACACACAGACACAATTAATCGTCCACTCCCAGAAAATACGGGAAAATATGGGAAGTGGGGGGGAAGACAGAAATCCAGAAAATATGGGAAAATATGGGGAATATGTTTATTTGTGTGTATTTATTTTTGTGTTTGTGGGCCCCTTCAGTGAAAGCGTGTGAATGTTGTCGTCCTACAGACAGGGCCTCCTGCGGGGTGAACATGACGCCAACTGGCGGTCCTCTTCTCCGTCGGCGCTGGCCGGGGAAGGCGAATGCTCCTCATCATCATCCTCCGCGCCCCCTCCGCGGAGCACGCGCCTCCGCCAGAGGCGGGCGGGGCCAGGGCGAGGAGAAATCTGTGCCAGGGCGTCCCGGGGCGCTCCCGCAGCGCTCCGGAGCGCTCCGAGAAGGCCGCGGCGCCCGAGACCTCCTCCAGAGCTGCCGGATCTCAGAGACTCTCGATGTATTGGGCGTTGCGTAATGGGGGGGTCATAAATGGGGGGGTGGCGAGAGTGGTACGAAAAGGTACCCAAACGGTACCTAAACGAGCCCCCTGGGGCTCCGGAGGGGCCCGAAAGGGGCACGAAAGGGGACCTTTTCTGACCCCCCCATTTATGACCCCCCCACTAAGCCACGCCCAAATGTATTTGGGGGGCGCGTGCTGGGGGGGCGGCAAGTCAAGGGGGCGGCAGAGAGGGCTGCAGGAGGGAGCCCTTCGGGGCCCTGGAGGGGCCCTGGAGGGGCACCGAGAGGGGCCTTTGGGGCCCGAAGAGGGCTTCTTTCTCTCCCCCTCCAATGTTGAAGGGGCCCACAAACACACAAATAAATACACACAAATAAAAGTATTCCCCATATTTTCCCATATTTTCTGGGTTTTTGTCTTCCCCCCCACTTCCCATATTTTCGCATATTTTCTGGGGGTCGACGATTAATTGTGTCTGTGTGTTTCTTTCCCTCCTGAAATGTATCGCCCCCCACAAATTCACGCCCAGTCACCCAATGCTGTCCTCCTCCTGGCTTCGTCTCAGATGACGCGTCACGCGCTGCCTGCCAGGCTCCAGATGAGCAGCGCAAAAAACACGGGGCTGTCTGCGGCGACATTGGCGCGCGTAGGCTGCCCGCGTAAGGTCGCGCGTGAGCGCCTTCTTCTCCGAAGTAGTGTGCCGCGCTGGCGGCCCGCGTGAGCCACCGCGGAAGGTCACTACGTCATCCCGCGAGAGACCCGTTTTTGCCAGGAGGGAAAACTACACACAGACACAATTAATCGTCGATTCCCAAGGAAGATATGCAGAAAAAATGGGAAGTGTGGGGGGAAGACAAACACCCCACAAATATGTAAAAATATGGGGAATCCTGTTATTTGTGTGTATTGCTTTGCTTGTCCCAGGGCCCCTTCAAGATTGTGGTGGCAGCTCGAAAGAAGCTGGGGGCCGCTCCTGCCCCCGGGCTGCCCCTGGACGGAGCGTGGGCTCGGAACGGCTCGCGGCGGAGGGCTGGTCCCTCGTGGAAAGGGGCCCGGACTTTTGGAGAGCCACGATGTGCACGAACGAGATGGGTACGGAAAGAATGGGTACAATGCCCAGCAGCGGATCTTGTTCATTTTGAACAGGACTCGCTGTCCACGCCGCTGCGGCCTGTGTCCATTCGAGACAGAAGGCCGCCTGCCCAACAGCGGCCGCTGTTGGTCTGGAACAACATTTGTTGTTGGGTATTGTACCCATTCTTTCCGTACCCATTTCGGGCGTGCACAGTCTCGATGGTGAATTATTCTGCGTCCTCTCCTCTGTTTTTGTGTTCTGCTTCCTCCGAGCGCTCCGTGGACGGATCGGGCCTGGCGGTTGTCCCTGGAGGCCCGCGCGGGCCCGCCAGTCCCCTCGAGTTTTCCGGAGGTTCCGACCAGCCCGGGGAAGTTGGCGGCCTCCTCTCCCTCCGGAGGTGGACAGACCTACCCTGACACGTCGATTCAGGAATTGGCCGTGTTCGGTTCGCGGGAGGGCGTCGCGGCCGTCGTTTTTTGCGGGCCCAGGTCCGTCGATTTCGGCCTCAGGTCGTTTTCACTCAGGGGAGGGTTGACTAAAGGGAGGTTTGCCCACCGCCGATGCGCCTCCCAGATGGAGTCCGAGCAGCTGGGGTCGGAGGATGGCGCCGCATCGCAGATGCACCGCCGATGCATCGGCGATGCGGTGCGATCGTCCGACACCATCTTTTCGGACCCCATCCAGAAGGCCTCTGGTAAAGAGGCAGCCACGTCGGATGGTCTGGGTCGAGGGTCCGAAGACGTGGAGGGAGGGAGGGAGGAGCATGGCCCAGCCAGGTCAGTTCTTGAGGGCTCCAGGGCCCGCACACGATCTTATTCTCGTCCTGGCCTCGTCTTGGGGAGGAGAGGTGTTCCTCTTGTGCACCTCAGGGGCCCCTGTGGAAGGAGCGTGGGCTCAACACGGGTCAAGATGAAAGGCTGGTCCCAGGAAGGGTCCAGATTTTTGGTTCTTGGAGATGGCTTTTGGAGAGCAACGATGTGAAAAAGGCAGCGACGTCGGATGTCTCCAGGCCTCCCAAATAGGGTCCGAGTAGATATGGGTCGAAGGATCGCACCTCATCGCCGATGCATCGCCGATGCGGCTCGATGTAGAGCCACATGTTCTCCGCGCTGGCATCTCAGGTGCATCGCCGACGTTGCCTTTGCATCGGCGCTGTATCGGCGATGCATTGGCAATGCGGCGCGATCGTCCGACCCCATCTAGTCGGACCCTGTCTAGGAGGCCTCTAATGTCTGGGTCGGGGGTCCGAAGACGAGGATGGAGGGAGGGAGGAGTATGGCCCAACTGTGTCATTCCTTGACGGCTCCAGAGCCCGAAACCGTGTCTTGGCTGACCGCCCAAATGGTGGAACACTGGCCTTCTCATTCTTTTCGAGCCGCCAGCTTCTTGGGTCCGAAGAGCGGGGTAAGCGGGAGGAAGCCCGGGGCATTCGAATACGTATTTCATTATGACTCGATGGCGATCGATTTTAGACCTCCTGTTACCATGGATTGATGCTCGGAGTCATAACAAATCCCACGTGTGCCACACGCAGACTAGCTTCCCACCCCGAGTCGTTTTCAGCCGGTCCCGAATCCCCCGATGGCTGCCGCCAGTTCAAGCAGTGGCGAAGCGTCCTGGCGTGCCTATAGGCATACCAAACAATGTTCTAAGGAACTTTTTCACGAACTGTTCGCAGAACATTTCTGGCCGGGACCGTCTTGTTATAACACTTCGGTTTTATGTTCTAAGAACCTTGATTTTATGTTTAGGGCATTTTGGGGCTCTAAGAACGAACATGTCGTGGTAGGCCTGTAGGAATGCCGGGACGGTCGGTCCCTGCTTAACCAGCGGCATATAGTTGTCAACAAGTTGTCCGTCGTGATGTTTGACCACGCGAGGAGGTCTGGCTGCTGTTCCCCAACTCGGGGCTCCAGCGGCCGCTCAGGACGAGCTGGGCCCTCCAGGAGCGCTCGGCGAGGCGCAGCTGCAGGAGTCGAGCTCCCCAAAGGGGGTCGAATGAATTACAGTGGGGGCGCGCATCAAGAAGCCCTGTGCTTTTCGTGAGGGTATCCTGGGTTTCTTCGCTCCTCGCGCTGCGCGGTGACTTCCCACAGCCGTTGAAGGAGCTGCTGCGTTCAGGGTGCGCCGGGTTTCCCCTCAGGTGTACCTCGCGCGCGCTGTACAGTCGGGGCCCCGAAGAAGGAACCCTTTTCGTTGGGGAGGGGCTCCGTGTTCCTTAAGTGTTTCGCAGCTTGCCTTAGATTTTCCTTAGGGTTTTGTACGAAATCGAAGGTTAACTTGTAGAAAAAAGGGGCCTCGTTCCTTATTTAGGGTTCCTTAGGTCAAGGCCCCGACTGTATCGCACCGTGTCCTTCGGAGCGGCCTGATCTGGACCCCTTTCTTCTCCAACCCAACGTTGCCGACGCGTCGGCGATGCCGTGCGATCCTCCGACGGGCGAACTGAGACCACGGCGGCTCTCCAGACCGATACACAGCCGCTCACGATCCGCTCCTGGAGCCCTCTCGGACCCCTCCCGGGGCCAATCCTCCTCCTCCCCCTCCTCTCCTCCCCCTCCTCCCCCTCCTCCTCCTCCTCCTCCTCCTCCACCTCCTCCTCCTCCTCCTCCTCCTCCTCCTCCTCCTCCTCCTCCTCGACCCGCACTTCGCAGCGGAGCCCGCCCTGGTGACGAGAAGGTCGCAGGAGGAGGCACAGGAGGGTCGAGGGAAGCCAGGGGGGCCCGCCGTCGTCTCGACTTGCGCTCCTCTGCGCATCTGGGCCTTCCAGATGGGGCCTGATCTAGATCTGATCGGGGGGTCGCCTCGCATCGCCGCTGCATCGGCGATGCGGCTCGACGTGGAGCCCGTTGTTCTCCACGCTGGTGGCGCCGATGCATCGTCGACGTCGCCGACGCTTCGCCGATGCTGCGGCAATGCGGCGCGATCTTCCGACCCCATCCAGGAGGACTCGGGAGGGGCGGGCGGCGGGGGAGTTGGCCGGCCTTGGCCCAGGTCGTCCTCCTCGTGCGCGACCCGTTGCTGTCCGGGAGGCGCCGGGCGCGTTGCCCCCCCCCACCTTCCCTGACCTTCTGGAGTTGGGCGGGGCTAGGACGAGGACAGAGTTGTTCCAGAGCGTCCTGGAACGCTCTCAGAGCGTTCTGGAACGCTCTGAGAAGGCCGCGGCGCCCGAGACATCCTCCAGAGCCGCCGGATCTAAGAGGTTCTCGATTTTCGGAGGGAGGAGGAGCGACACCAACACCACAAGTGGCGCCACCTTCACGAATGGAGGTCCACGATGCCTCCCCGAGCTGGAGGCTGGGGATGTCTCAAGCGAGAGGGGGGACCACACCACCAGGGAGACCCCTCTTGCTCCTCGCATCTCGTCGCCCTAGTGGTGTTGGTGTCGCCTTTCCTCGTTCCCAGATTTACCCTCACTCGATTTCATCCTAGTCTTTGCTTCGTCTTACAGGGTGCCAGCGCATTTCGGGCGATGAAGAATATATGCATGCGCCGATCCTCGTCATGTCTTGGTGGGTCCACGATCGTTGGGTGTGCCTCCCTGGCCGAGCACAAAAGGGCGCACACACTGGTCCAGTGCACGGGTAATCTTCTCTTCCCTCCCTGCTACAGTCCTCTTGGGCCTTCCAGCCCCGACTTCCAGCCCTGACCTTGAACGGCGCCGACCTGCGGCGCTGGGATCCATCGCAGCGCGGTCGAGCGGCCAGCGGGGGAAGGAGGCGCGCGCTGCCTGCGCATGGGGAGAGGCGGGGAAGAGAGGGGATGGGGCGGCGGCCGCGGAGCGTACTGGAATCAGGCGATCGCAGACATCGATCCAGGGGGGCGTGGATTCGCGACGGGTGCCGCTTCCATGGGGAGCCACGGATTTCCACCGAGGCGGCGCCGGCCGCTTCTTGGGGAGGCCACCTCCCCCGGTCCATGGATTTGGCGACCGCGCGCCGAAGCTCGGGCCGGACGAATGGGGGGGATTGGGGAAGGGGGGGTTACGACATTTGCTGCATGCAGCTGGTTTCGGCCCTGCCGCCGGGCCCATTCCTCGATACATGGGCGCCTCCCGGCGCCGGGAGGCGCTGGAAAAATCAGCTACGTGAGCTGATTCTCTGCCCTGCCCTTGGCTATCCCCCCCTTTCGCCCGGCCCGAGAAGCCAAGGATCGCAAACCCATGCTTGCGCGCCCCCGAGAGATCGGGCGAAGGGAACTATGCACATGCACCGATCCTGGCAAGGCCCATCCCTGACCCAGGATCGGTGCATATACCTTCCTAGCCAAGGTAGGAGGGCGTATGCACCGATCCTGGGCTCAGGATGAGCCTGGCCAGAATCGGTGCATGTGCATAGTTCTTTTTCCTCTAGCCATGGATCGCAAACCCATGCTTGCGCGCCCCCGAGAGAGGGGAGGGGAGGCCGCGGAGGGTACAGGGCGGAGGTCCTCCGCAGCGCGGCGGCCTCGGGCTCCCAGGGGCTGGGCCTGCGCAGGGGCGCCGAAGACGAGGCAGACCCAGGGCGGCCAGCCAGGCAGGACTGCAAAGGCTTCCGCCGTCGTGCGGCTTGCCCGGGGCCCTCACCTTGCCCTCCTCCTCCTCCTCCTCCTCCTCCTCCTCCTCCTCCTCCTCCTCCTCTCCAGACCCCCCAATGGGAGGCAGGACCCGGGGCGAGAAGCAGGGCGCGGAGAGAGGCGCATCCGGGGCCACCAGGCAGGGCGAGGACTCGTGCCGTCTGCGGCTCGCCCGGGGGCCCTCGCCGATCCCCAGGGCTTCGACCGGAGTTCGGGGCGCTGCGGCCGTGGGCCTCCAGCCACATGCAGGGTCGCGAGGATCGAACAATCGCTGCGGCTTCACGGTCTTGGCTGGAGAGCCACCTTTCTCCGGGAGGTGTCGGGTGTCGCTAGGAGTGGTCCTGGACCAATCGGAGGCCCCCAAACGGTGTGGAAACCACACCGCGTGGTGAGTCAGTGGAGGCTCGACTCGTTCGAGCAGGGCTGGCAGTGCTACTGGCATGCCACAGCCAGCTGCAGCTTCTGCGAAGGAGGACGGGAGGAGGGGAGGGGATCAGGAGGCCTTCCTTCCCTCCCGCCTCAGCCCCTTCCCTGTCTTATCCCTCCCTCGGCCAATCCCCTTTTCTTCCCTCTCCTTCCCCCCTCTCCCCATCGCTCCTCGCTCTCTCCTTCCCTTTTGGGCCCCAGTTCTTTCCCTCCCCCTCACTGATCCTCTCCTCCCCTCCTTCCAGTTTCCATCGTTCTCGCGTGCTTGTGCACGCGCAGCTGATTAAACCCCAAGTCGGTCATCGTTGCATCTGGTACTTCTCTTTCTCCTTCTAGCTTCAGGGGGGACGGGGCGGCGATGAGATGCTTGTTGACTGTTTGCCAGGCTGACGGAGATCGACCTCCACGCGCTCCTGGAGCTCCAGTCCTTCAGCCGCGCTTTTATGTAGCATGGTTGCTTTGAGCCTCTTTCTGGGCCTACACCTTAGGCGATGCTTAAGAAAACTTGAGTTTTCGGCCAGAGCCTCGATTATTCTTAATGTTTCAATGTAAATCCTAAGATTGTGATAGAAATGTTGGGTTTTTATTCGAGTTCTGAGACCATGAATTTCTTAACCCATGATTTCTTAAGCATTTCGCAGGGTGTACTTTACTTAGTATCTCCGCGCCCCTGAGCAGCTCGACGGGCCCGCGCGCTCGGGGGCTGGCGGACGAGAACGTAGAGCTGTTACGGACCAGGGTGCCACGCCTCGTAAAAGGCTGCCGCTTCTGCCGCCGACCCGAGAGAACGCTGTGGCGCGTACGTGCGTGCAGCCATACATAAACACACACACACATCTGCACACACATACACGCATGCACACGTGCACGAGCATACACACACATATGCATACAGTGCATTGCTTGAGCCTCCCATACATACATGCATGCAAGCATACAAACAAACAAACACAGAAACATACAAACAGACAAACACATACATACATACACATACATACATACATACATACATAAATACATACATACATACATACATACATACATACATACATACATACATACATACATACGTACGTACGTACGTACGTACGTAGGTACATACATACATACATACATACATACATACATACATACATACATACATACATCACACACACGCATACATGCATGCATGCATACATACATACATAAACACATTCGAAAGAGCGTGTTCTGCGGGTGCTTGGAGGGGGGTGATTCGGAACTGGACCCACCCCCCTTGGATTGACGGGGGGGTTCGAACCCCCCCCCTCCCTCCCCCCCCCTCGTCACGGGAGGGGTGCAAGGGGGTGTCGAACCCCCCCCGTCCCCCTTTCTCCCTCTCCTCGGCGGCGGCTGGCGGCGGCGGCGGGGAGCGTCGACGAGGATGACGACTCCCTTTTACTGGGCCGGCGCCGGCGTCTGCGGCGGCTGGCGGCGGCGGCGGGAAGCGTCGACGAGGACGACGGCGACAACGATAACGACGAGGACTAAGACGACGAGGACGACGATGGCAACGACAACGACGACGACGACGCGCCGCCATCGTGCCTTTGTGTTGGGTCAGAGTCCTAATGGATGCCCCCTTGGGGTCTCGTCGGAGGGCTCTCAATGGCCTCTGAGGGGCATGTGTGAAGCCTCCTGGACGCCTCTTGAGCGTCTTTCGGGGCCTCTCTGAAGTGGTGGTGGTGGTAGTTGGCTGTGGTGATGGTGGTGGTAGTGGTGGTGGTGGTTGTGGCGATGATGGTGGTGAAGGTGGTTGTGGTTATTGGTGGTGGAAGTGGTTGTTGCTGTGGTTGTGGTGGCAGGTTGTGGTAGTGGTGGTGGTGATGCTGTAGTGGTTTCTGATGGTTGTCGTGGTGGTGGTAGTTGTGGTGGTGGTTGGTTGTGGTAGTGGTGGTGGTGGTGGTGGCGGTAGTGGTGTGATGGTTTGTCGTGGTAGTTTTGTGTTGGTCGTAATGTTGGTGGTTGTGGTGGGTTGTGGCGGTGGTGGTGGTGGTGGCGGTGGTGGTCGTTGTGGTGGTGGTGGTGGTATGTCTTTGTTTGTTGTGGTGGTGGTGGTGGTTGTGGTGGTGTGGTGGTGGTGGTGGTGGTGGTGGTGTGGTGGTTTGAGGTGGTGGCGGTGGTGGTGGTGGATTGTGGTGGTGGTAGCGGTGGCGGTGGTGGTGGCCTTGGTGGTCGTTGTGGTGGGGGTGGTGGTGTCTTGGTTTGTTGGTGTTGGTGGTGTGGTTGTTTGAGGTTGTGGTGTTGGTGGTGTGGTGGTTTGAGGTGGTGGTGGTGGTGGATTGTGGTGGTGGTGGTCGTGGCGGTGGTGGTGGCGCTTGTGGTGTGGTGGTTTGTGGTGGTGGTGGTGGCGGTGGTGCTCGCGGTGGCGGTGGACTGCGGTATGTGGTGGTGGTGGTGGTTGTGGTCGAGGTGGTGGCGGTGGTGGTGGTGGTGTGGTGGTCTGTGGTGGTGGTGGTGGGAATTTGTGGTGGTGGGGATGTCGTGATTGTGGCGGTGGTGGTGGTACTGGTGTGGTGGTTTGTGGAAATGGTGGTGGTTGTGTGGTGATTTGTGGTGGTGGTGGTGGTGGCGTGTGTGGTGGTGGTGGTGGATTGTGGTGGTGGTGGTGGGTTGTGGCGGTGGTGGTGGTGGTGTGGAGGATTGTGGCGGTGGTGGTAATAGTGATGGTGGGTTGTTGTGGTGGTGTTGGCGGGTTGTTGCAGTGGTGGTGGTGGTGGTGGTGGTGGCTGTGGTGGTGGTGTAGTTGTTTGTGGTGGTGGTGGTGGCGGGTTGTGGTGGTGGTGGTGGTGGTAGTGGTGGTGGCGGTGGTGGTGGTGGTGGCGTGGTGGTTTGTGGTGGTGGCGGTGGTGGGCTGTGGTGTTGGTGCTGGTGGTGGTGCTGCTGGTAGTGGTGCTGGTGGTGGGTGGGGGTGGTGGGTGGTGATGGTGGTTGTGGTGGAAGTGGTGGTGTGGTGGTTTGTGGTGGTGGCGGTGGTGGGTTGTGGTGGAGGTGGTGGTGGCGGTGGTGGTGATGGTGGTGGTGTGCTGGTTTGTGGTAGTCGTGGGTTGTGGTGGGTTGTGGTGGATTGTGGTGGTTGTGTTGGTGGCGTGTGCGATGGTGGTGTAGTCGTTTGTGGTGATGGTTCTGGTTGTGGTGGTGGTGGGTTGTGGTGGTTGTGGTGCTGGTGGTGGCGGTGGTGGTGGTGGTGTGGTGGTTTGTGGTGGTGGTGGTGGGTTGTTGTAGTGGCGGTGGCGGTGGTGGTGGTGGGCTGTGGTGTTGGTGATGACGGTGGGCTGTAGTGGTTTGTCGTGGTGGTGGTGGTGGGTTGGGGTGGTGGCGTTGGTGGTGGTAGTGGTGTTGGCGGTGGTGGTGGTGGCGTGGTGGTTTGGTGGTGGTGGTGGAGGTGGTGGGCTGTGGTGTTGGTGGCGGTGGTGGTGCTGCTGGTGGTGGTGTGGCCTCGGGGTCTTCCCGCAGCCGTGCTTTGGCTTTGGGTCAGAGTTCTATTGGATGCCTCTTGAGGTCCCGTCACAGGGGTCTCGGGGCGTCTGAGGAGCATCTGTGAAGCCTCCTGGACCTTCCTAAGGACCTTCCGGTGGCTTTTGGGGGGCGAGGGTTCGATATGGCAATGTGTGTTTCCCCTCTGTGGCCTCTGGGCCCTCTCTGGTCATAGTCGTTGCGTCCCCGCCGTCGGCGCTGCTGGCCGCCGCCAGCGTCGGGGCCGACGCGGCGCTCTTTGACACATACATACCTACATACATGCACGCATACATACATGCATACATACATGCATGCATGCACACATACGTGCACACATCTATACTTACATACGCACGTACATACATGCATGCATATACAAAGACACTCAACACAGCTTCCAGACATGGGCACACACATAATACATACATACATAGACACACGCACACCTCTACATACGTTCGTTTGCACATGCGTACATGCAGGAGTTTACCGCAGTGCATGCACACGGAAGTGCACACAGACCTACGTATGTGCACGTATACATGCTTGTGTTCCTTAGAGTTGAAGTCGTAGGTTGCGTCTTCGGAAACGCTAGAAACTCCGCTGGCCGCCGCTATGGTTTCTTCGGCGGGCCGGGCCGGAAGCGTTGCGCAAGCTTCCATGGGTTTCCGCATCGATTTCTACAGCGCGCGCCAGCCCAACGCGAGGGCGATGTTGTTTGGGAAGAACTGCCGCGAGGACATCGACAAGTCGGGGAATGCCTTCGCAAAGCATGTCCAGGGTTTTCTGGGGTCGGGCCGTGCGAGTTCGGCCTCGACGATTTGTCCGACCGAGCTTTCGAACACGTCATGTCGGCGTGCAGCGGGCAGCATGGTTGCCGACGATCGAGCTCATGCAGATTCCAGAGAGCGCTGCAAAGCCTTCCTTGCAAGTGTACGTTATTACTCGGGCCACGCGCCGTCGTCCTCGACGCAGTCTTGTTGCCGCGCCCGTGGAAGCGCTGCGGCGCCTACTTTGTCGCTGCCCTTCGCGCGCGAGGTCCATTGCAGACGAGGCGTCCAGACAGTTGCGGGGATGGAGGGAAGCGTCGGCTGCAGTGCCATCCTTGCCAACCAGTGCCCATCGCGCGCCGGCGCCGCATAAAGCACTCGCTCAACGTTGCGCATCGCGAGCGGTCGATGGAGTTTTTCCGGAAGGATTGTATCATTCCTCGCGCGGCGTGTTGGGCGGAGATCTGAATCATTCGCCATGCGCGATTGTTCGCACGTAGAGAATTCCCACGGGGCGAGTGACCGCATCTGGAGCACCCATTCCAATTTCACGCGTCTACACGGCGACTTTGGATTCGAGGCTTGCGCCGCATCCGCTTGCCCTTTGGATCGCATGCGAGCTCCGCACTGCAGAGATATTAAGTTGCTTCTTCGCGTCCTCCCCAGCGCCTTTTGCCCCCGTCAGAAGGGGCCGGAAAACGCCGAAAGAAACGCGAGGGGCAGTTGGAGATGCATGCGAGAGAGTCGCCGAACGCCGTCGCCCCCAGTGCCGAACGCAGGCAGATCAACGCATCCGCCGCGCGCTGCCGCGCATTAGAAGGCTGGCAGACGTTTGGCATGGGCGCCCCTGCTCGACGGCCTCAAAGCGAGGTCGGCTGCAGGCGCGGCGGGGCCAGCGCCGGGCGCGGCCCCGTCACCTTGGAGGCCGATGTGCCGGGGCCGCGCCAGTCAGCAAGCGGCGCCGAAGGACCCGCGTCTGCGGCGGCGAGGGCGCCATCGCTGCGACGGCGCCGCGCGCGGGCGCCAGTTGCGCGCGGCGTTGGGAATCCGGCTCCGGCCGATGACTTCGTCGGGCGCGGAGACCGGGAAGGATGGGGGCGAAGAGGGTGAAGATGGGCGGTCGTCTGGTGGCGTTGATTGGATGCAGTAGGCCTCTGCGCCCTCCGCCCCTCCTCCGGCGCCTCCATGCGCGGCGGGCGCCCGCGAGCGCCCGCGCGCCGTCGCACGTCTCGAGCGCGCGGAGTCGGCCGGCGCGCAGCTCGCGGAAGAACGGGCACAGGTGTTCCAGGAGCTGCAGATGAAGCTGTGGCGCAGGCATCTGGTCGGCCCGGGTTATCCTGGGCCGCGCGCGGCGGTTGAGGCCGACGAGCTTGATTCAGCTAGTCTCCGCCGCGCGCGCACTAGATGAGCGCCGCTGGAGATGCCAGGGGGGGCCAGCGCCGCTCGCGGGCGACGCTGGCAGCCGCGCGGGGCAGCGCCGCGCAGCGCGCGGCGCGCCCGCGAGGGCAGTTGGATGCTGGAGGTCAGCGGAGAATCCCGCCGCGGGGGATCTGGGGGGGGCGGGGGGGGGCGCGGCCGCGGCGGATAGCTTGCGCGCGGAGGCGGCAGAGGCAAGCCGACAGCGGCGCCTACGACCTCGCGCCAGCAGCGAGAGCGGGCCCGGGGCAGAGAGAGCAGCTCCTCAAGAAGGAGGGATGCAAAGTTCTCTTGTGAAGCACTGGTCGCGAGCAATGCTTCGTGGCTCTGGCGCGGGGGCAGTTTCCCCCGGCGCCCGCGGGTGCCCGCCGGCATTCGGAGAAGCGGCGGGAAATCGTGATTTCCGAGGGGCGCCGAGCGGACGCGGGCATTTCGGCGCAGGAGAATGGGGCGGGCCGAGCGCGCGCATAAGGCGCGCCGCGCGCGCCTGGAGCTCAGGTGCGCCCGCCGCGAGTTGAAGCCCGGCTCGCCGCGCCCGCGCTGCAGAACCTCTGGCCGCGACGCAGTTACCGCCGGCGCGTTATCAACGTAGTCTCATGCATTCAAGCGCCAGACGGAGCGCGGCAGAACCTGCGCCATCGCGCGAACGCGCCCCTAGCAGCTGCGCCCCCGCTGGCTGCTCTGCTTGTTCGGCCTAAGTCGCGTCGATGGGAGGGGGCAGGGGGGCGGGGGGGCAGATGGAGGGGCAGAAGGGGTCGGAAGGGGGGGGAGGGGGGGGGGGGGCGGAGGAGGGGAAGGGCAGGCTGGCGGGGTGGTGGCCGGGCGAGGAGGGGCAAGGGGGCCGCGTGGAGCGTCACCCGCGCTCGCTGGCCGCGCGCTAAGGAGAGCACCTTTCGCGCGGCGCCGTCCAGCATGCAATGGCGGGCCGTGCGTTCCGCGCGTTCTCGCTGCGTTTTGCCTCCTGCGCAGGCGCGAACCTGACTCGGCGCACGGCAATGTCTGCGCGCGCAGTTGCAGGCCCGCCCCCGCGAAGCAGCCCCCGCCTGGATTCCGACGTCGGAGATGGCGCTGCCGAGCGAGGGAATGGCGCGTCTTCGCTGCCCCGCCGCCTCGCGAACGCGCGCCACAGGGGGCGCCCGCGCGCGGGTTTGCCTGAGGGGCGCGTTGACGCGCGAAAGCACTGCCCAAGGGTCGCCGATATGCGCGCTGGCTTTGAATAGGGGGCGCGCGCGTGCGTGCCGGCCGTGGTTGAGGGCGTTCGGAAGAGACAATTCTCTTGCCCCCCCTCTTCTCCGACTCCGCAACGCGCGCAGCGGCGCCGCCGGCAAGGGGCGGCGGCGAGAGCCACACCATGAGCAACAAGAGCAATCATGCTTACAACGGCGACCACATGAACAATACAACCATTAAAAACAACAGGAGCAACGCGCACACCATCATCACAATCGTGATCCAAAACCAAGAGCAATCGTCAAACGCATAATCAGGACAGCCCAACTGCATATAAAAAGTTGAAGATCCTGGAGGATCCAGTTTTTTGCGGTCAGTGTCCACGGTTGACATTGATGTCACCGGCATTTGCCTGTATAAATCACATGTGTACTCATCAAAAACATAGCAAACTAGTAGCCATACCGTGGGCTAACATCCGCTCCGGCGCGTCTGCCGCGGTCTCGACGCGAAGTTCCCGGCGGGGACAGATCGCCATCTTCGAGTCGATATGTCCTTGGCCTCGTTTTTTTTAGTCGAGCGTCTCGACATTGGGCGGAAGTGGGGCGGGGAAGGGGCGGGGTCTGGCTCCAGACCTCTGCTCAGCGCGGCTGTCTGCGACAGGGCGTCCGGTGGGGGAGGCTCCACCTGTCTGTAAACAGGCTCCAAAAGCATTCGAGATCCACTCCATGGGGGTGGGAGGGGGGGGGGGGCGATGGCCCGCGCCGATCGGCAAAACAAGGATTGAACAAAACGGCCGCCAGGCGTGTGCCCATGATGTGTGTCACTGCGTGTGGCCTGGGGGTGCTCGATGTCCCTCCCCCCCCCTGGAGGCCGCGATCCTCGTGAGGGGTGTCAAAGATGTGCCCTCCCAGAGGCCGCGAGATGACCCGCTGACACAGCGGCCCTCCTCCAAACAGACATCAGGGATCCTTAGACGAGGAGCCCCTGGCCGCTGCCTCATGTACACCTTAGGTGATGCTCAAGAAATCCCAAGTTTTCGGCCAGAGTCTCGATTATTCTTAATTTTTCAATGTAAATCCTAAGATTTCTAATAGAAATGTTGGGTTTTTATTCAAGTTCTGAGACTATGAGTTTCTTAACCCATGATTTATTAAGCATTTCGCAGGGTGTATGCGAGGAGCCCCTGGCCGCTGCCTCATGTAGAGGATGTTGAGCCTTGTGAATCGGCAAAAAACGATCAAGATTCCTCAGAACACCAGTTCGGCCTTTTCTGACACCCATGTTGGGCCTCTTGGAAAATTAAGCGATCTGAATAGATCGTGCTTCTGTTCGAAGAAAACATATCTAAATATATAGGCGTTTTTTTAAGCTCGATTTAGACCACCAAACTCTATTTAGATAGGCGGATCTAAATAGATCGGCACCGTTCTAAATAGATGGGAAAACTCTAAATAGATAGGAACATATTATCATGGATTACATGCCTCCCTCTTCCTTCCACCTTCGAAGATGCGCCGGCACTCGAAGCCCATCGTGGATTTCAGTTTCGCGGGCGCGCCGGGCTCATTTCGGGCTCACCTCCAACAGGTAATATCCTCAACGGGGTCGCGTCGGGGTCAGTCCGTCTGAGGCCATTGAGGCCCAAGCCACCTGCAGGGCAGTAGAGGTATCGCAATCAGCAGCGTGTGGTCGCAAACCGGCCAGTGCCCCATCAACCATGCTCAGCCAGCGCACATATCTTCGAGAAGGTGAAGCGGCCCCCGCCCAGCAGAGGAAAGGCAAAGGGGTGCGTCCCGACTCTGAGTGGCTGAGCTCGGCCCCCACGCGATGCCCCACGTCCGAGCTGTTAGCTTTCGGCGAGGACCAGGACGCCAACGTTCACAACGAGACCTGGGGCGCCACCGCGCTGCCGAGGGACGGCGATGAGCCGGCGCTCTTGGAGACAACGCTTCTCCAGGCGCTGCGCTTCGGGAGCGGGCGCCCCCAGATGCGGTCTGCGATGCCAGCGTCGAGGGTGCCCCCGCTCAGGCGCCTCCGGTCCGAGGCGTTCTGGGAGCAGAAGGCGGCTGCCGTCCGGCGGCCGGCATGCTCGCCCTGGGAGGCGGCCGTGAGGCAGCGCCGCCCGTGCCTCGACGAACGCGACTGCTTCGGGCCACCGGCGGTCGCGACGCCTGCAGCAGAAGGCACCGAAGGCGACGGCGCCGGTGGCAGCCCCAAGAGCTGGGCGGGCGCCATCTCCAGGGAGTTGCGCCGCGGGGCGCGCAGGCCCGTTGCAGCGGCAGCCCCGCCGCAGCGTTCGGGCCCGCTCTGAACTGGCGCGGCCAGTCGTACCACCCGGCTTGGAGCCGGTAGGAACCGCTACTGGGGTGAGTTGGAGTGCCGAGCTATCTTGCCAGCGTTTGGCCGCGTCCTTGGCGAAGCATGCATTCACTTCTGATGTGCCTCTCCTACTGTCTGCAGTTCCAGTGGCGCATCGTGGTAGCCTGGAGCCTGCTGCTCCTGGAACTGCTGACACTTAGTGCCAGGCTGTCGTTCTGGCGTCCGGCGTCTAGCCGCGTCCAGGGCGAGCCGTGCACTCTTTTATCAGAGATACGATCCAAGATGTGTCCATGATCTCCAGGGTCTCCCATGGTTCCACACGGGCTCAGCAACCGAGGGCCGCGAGGTACGCCAGAATTCTTGGAACGTATCCCCAGCATACCGTGTTAGAATATTATACTCGTCTTGTTTGAATGCACTTTTCTTTTTTCTCTCGTGCAACACGGGGAAATTACGCATTCCTTTCTTGTGAGTGCCCTTGCCGTCTGCAGCTCAAGCTGACACATAGTGCAGAGCTGTCTTGCTTCATTCGGCGTCTAACAAGCCTTGTCCAGAGCGAGGCATGCACTCTTTTGGCAGAGGACAAAGAAGTCATGGTCATGATCAAAATATTTTCCTATGTAAAGACGCTGGTGTACTCCTCTCGTGCAACACGAGGAATCCATGTATTCGTGTGTTGTGAGCCTTAGTGCCGGGCTGTCCTGCTGGCATCTGGCATTTGGCCAAGTCCAGGGCGAGCCGTGCACTCTTTTATCAGTCAGGGGAAGGATACGTTCCAAGATGCCTCTAGGATCCCCAGGGTCCCCCAAGGTTCCACACGGGCTCAGCAACCGAGGTCCGCGAGGTACGTCAGAATTCTTGGAACGTATCACCAGCCGACCGTATCATAATATTATGCTTGTCTTGTGTGAAAGCATGTTTGCATTTCTCTCGTGCAACAAGGGGAAGCTATGCCTTCTTTTCTTGTGAGCACCCTTGCCATTGCCGTCTGCAGCTCAAGCTAACACTTAGTGCAACGCTGTCCTGCTTGCATCCGGCGACCAACTAGCCGAGTCCAGAGCGAGGCATGCACTCATTTAGCAGAGGACCAAGAAGAAGTCGTGGAAATGGTACGATTCTTGTCCTATTCTAATGCTCTTGTGTACTCCCCTCGTGCAACACGAGGAACCCATCAATTCGTGTCTTCTGCTCCAGTGGCGCATCATGGCCGTGTGGAGCCTGCTGCTCCAGGAATTGTTGACACTTCTAGTTCCGAGTTGTCTTGCTGGCATCTGGCGTCTAGCCAAGTCCAGGGCGAGCTGTACACTCTTTGATCAGAGGACCAAGAGCTCATGGTAAGGATACGTTCCAAGATGCTTCCAGGATCTCCAGTGTCTCCCATGGTTCCACACGGGCTCAGCAAACGAGGGCCGCTAGATACTCCAGAATTCTTGGAATGTATCTTGAGCCCATCGCATCATGACATATGTCTGGTTCTGTTTTAATGCGTGACTGCACTCCTCTCGTGCGGCACGGGGACGCCATGAGTTCGTGTCTTGGGGGCACTCCTACCGTTTTCTGCTTCAGTGGCGCATCATAGCAGCCGGAAGCCTGCTGCACCAGGAATTGCTGACACTTAGTTGCGGGCTGTCCTGCTTACATCTGGTGTCTAGCCGCGTCCAGGGCGAGCCATGCAATCTGCTAATTCCCGTGTGCGCTCCTCCCGTTTGCAGCCGCACATCGGTGTTCAGACATTTGCTGAATTTCGACAGCAGGATGGACAGGGATAACAAAGTTCGCCATTTGCCAGTGCTGGGCCAGTGCCCAGGGTATGCCACGCGATATGCTTATAATGAGTTGATGCGTTCGAGGTCCTGGAATAAGCCTGGCACGACGATGGGTAAACAGGGACGCCTCCTATTTCGTGCAACACACGCTACGCATAGGTTGCTATCCCAGATTTGTGTTTGACCTCGCAGCGACCTGCATACTTCCCACAGAAACACGCTCTGTCAACGAGGATGCCCTCTGTCTCGCTCGCCAGGCTCAAGGTACGGGGTGCTAATGATCTTCCTCGTTGCCTGATCACCACCTGCACATTTAACTATTTGCAGTTTCGGCCTTGGAGGGGAACTTCTGTAGGGATCCAGCGGAGTGGGGATGCCAGGCGCGTCGGAGGTCAGAGTTGAGGTCGGGGCAGGTTTTCGGTAGAAGGCGGGGGGGGGGGGGCAAGAACATGATCGGGTCAGGATGGGGGTCGGGGTAAGTCTTCGGCCGAACTTGTTGGGTCGGGGGCTCCATGAACAGGATCTAGGGGGGTAGGGATGATTCACGCGGTGGGGGGGTCGGTGTGGGGTCGGGGTCGGCCTTGGGCCGAGAAGTGTCGGGTGGTGGGCTCCAAGAGCAGAACCGAAGGAGGGGTGTGGACGCCAGACGCGGTCAGGGTCGGGGGTCGGGGCAGGTCCTAGCCGCGAGTGGTCCGCGGGGGGGAGCTCCAAGACCAGGATCCAGAAGGGGGTGGGGATGCCGGACGCGGTGGGGGTCAGGGTGGGGGTCGTGCCAGGTCGTGGGCCGAAAATCTCAGGGCGGGGGGGGGGGGGGTCTCCAAGAACAGGGTCCAGGGAGGTGGGGATGCCAAGCGGGCGGGGGTCAGGGTGGGAGTCGGGGGGCTCCCAGGATAGGATCCAGGGGGGATGGTGGGGATGCCAGGCGCGGTGAGGTCAGGTCGGGGGTCGAAGTAGACCTCGGGCAGAAATTCGTCGGCCGGGGCGCCCCAAGAACATGATCCAGAGGGGGGGGGATGCCAGGCGCGAGCGTTCCTCGTTTGGGGGGGGGGGGGGGGCCCAAAGGCGGGACCCAGGAGGTGTGCGAATGCCAGGCGCGGTGGGGGGTCAGGGTGGGGGTCGCAGTAGGCCTTGGGCCGAAACTTGTCGGGAGGGGGGGGGGCTCCCAGAACGGACTCCCGGAGGGGTGGGGATGCCGGACGCGGCGGGGGCCAGGGTTGCGGTCCGAGCAGGTCCTGTGCGGACAATTGTCGGGCGGCGGGCTCCAAGAACAGGATCCAGGCTGGGCGGGGGCGCCAGAGGCGGCGGAGGTCAGGGTGGGGGTCGGAGCAGGTTTTGGGCAGAACGCCGTCAGGAGAGGCGCTCCAGGAGCAGGGTCCCCAGGGGGGGGGGGATGCCAGGCGCGTCGGATGTCGGGGTGGGGGTCGGGCGAGGTCGTGGGGGGCACGGCGGGGTCGGGGAGCACGCGTATCCCAACGGGGCTGCGCAGCTCCTTGGGTGGCTGCGAACTTCGACGTTCCACTTTCGTGGGCCCCTGGAGAGGTCGAGGGGAGTCGGGGGCCACGCGCATCCAGCCGAGACCTCGCTGCTCCTTGGGTGGCTGCGAACTGTGCAATTGTCGCAACTTTCGCGCGCGCCTGGGAGGCACTGCGGAGTAGCGGAGTATGCGCACCCAGACAGGTCCTCGCAGCTCTCTGGGTGGTTGCGAACTGCGCAATTCGCGGCATTTTCGTTAGCTCCTGGGAAGTCGAGCGGAGTCGGGAAGTGCGCGCACCCAGAGTGGACCTCGCTGCTCCTTGGTTGGCTGCGAACAGCGCAATTGGCGCCACTTTCGAGGGCTCTTGGGAGGCACGGCGGAGCCGGGGGGCCACGCGGACCCAGACGGGACCTCGCTGCTCCTGCAATGTCCCGCGGAGCAGAGTGTCCTTGTCACGTGTTCTGTTGTATGGAGTGTTATTTTGAATAGTGGACTCGCGTTTAGAAGGGGTTGGGTACATCTCGGCTACTTGTGCAAAGGATGGTGGGAGGTTGTCATGGTCACGGATGTGTCGCCGGTCGTGCGGGAGAGGGGGCGCACACTAGTCATCAAGAACGACCAGCGAGTTAAGGACGAACATTGCCGAGTGGAGGGTGGGGTGCCAGGCGTGTTGGGGGTCAGGGTAGAGGTCGGACGAGGTCTTGGGCCGAAAATTGTCGGGTGTAAGGCTCCAAGAACATGATCCAGGGGTGGATGCCCAACGCGGTGGGGCGCAGGGTGGGGAGCGGGGCATGTCTTGGGCCGATCATTGTCGGGCGGGGTGCTCCACGAACAGGGTCCAGGGGGGTGAGGATACCAGACGCGGTGGGGGGTCGGTGTGGGGGTCGTGGGAGGTCGCCTTGGGCCGAGAAATGTCTGGTGGTGGGCTCCAAGAACATAACCGAAGTAGGGGTGTGGACGCTAGACGCGGTCAGGGTGGGGGGTGGGGGTCGGGGTAGGTCTTGGCCGCGAATTGTCCGGTGGGGGGAAGTGCGGGATGCCAGACGTGGGGGGGTGAGAGTTGAGGTTGGGGTAGACTGCGTGCAGAGTATTATTGCTTGAGGGGGACCCAACAACAAGACCCAGGGGGGGAAATGTCAGACGCGGTGGGGGTCAGGGTAAGTCTTTGGGACGATCATTGCTGGGTGGGGGCTCAGAGCACAGGATCCAAGGGAGGCGGGGATGCCAGACGCAATGGGGGTCAGGGTGGTGGTCGGGAGTCCTGAGCGGAAACTTACCGAGTGGGGGGCTCAACAGACAGGATCCAGGGGCGGTGGGGATGGCACACGTTGTTGTGGGGGTCAGGGCGGGAGTTGGATTTGGGTCTTGGGCCGGAGATTGCTGGGTGGGGCCTCCAAATGCAAGGCGCGATGGGGGGTCAGGGTGGGGATGAGTGTAGGTCTTGGGCGTATTTTTGTTCGCGCGGGGGGGCTCCAGGAACAGGATCTTTTCTGGTGAGGGGCTCAACCATCAGGATCCAGGAGGGGGGGCTGCAAGACGCGGTTGGGGTCATGGTGGGGGGCGGGGTTTGTTTTGGGCCGGAAGTTACCAGGTGGGAGGCTCCAAGAACAGGATCCAGTTGGGTGGGATTGTGGGGATCGGGGTAGGTCTTAGGCCAAACAGTTCTTGTGTAGGGGACCCCTGGAACGGGATCCAGGGGGATTGGGGGATGCTAGACGCGGTTGGGGGTCAGGGCGGGGGTCGGGGGAGGTCTTGAGCAGAATATTGGCTGGTGGGAGGCTCCGAGGACAGGATCCTGTGGGGGTGGGGATGCCAGACGCAGTGGGGGTCAGGTTTGGGGTCGGGGTAAGTCTTGGGTCGAAAATTGTCGGGTAGGGCGCTCCACGAACAGGATCCGGAGGGGGGTGGGGATGCGAGAAGGGTTGGGGGTCAGGGTTGGGGGCTCCAAGAGCAGGATCCAGGGGGGGTGGGCATGCCAGAGGCTGTGGGGGATAATGAAGTGGGGGTCGGGGGTGGTCTTCTGCCAAACACTGTCGGGTGGAGGGCGAG